TATATATATATATATATATATATATATATATATATATGAAAAATATGTAAAAAATGCATATGGGTACTCAAATGAAAGCCCTTGATGAGTGTAACATCGAGATGAGCTTATATCCTAAAAAAAGACATTAATTAAGAAATTACTTTGTATCTTGAGAACTATTGACATTTTTAAAGATATAAGCTCACCATGACATTACACTTATCGAGACCTTTCATTTGAGTACCCACATCAATTTTTCATATATTTTATTATATTCATATAATTTCATATATTCAGAGAGTGTATTACGATCGAACAAATTTTTTTTCGCCTCATTTCGGCGACTATTTTTATAATAATACTCTTGTTAGTTTCAAAACTTTTCTAAACGAAAATTAGAAGTTCAATTATCTAAGACAATGTTGAAATTTAGTTAAAATTTGAGTGTTTCCACGAACTACGTGCGAGTCCTTCTAATAAATTTTATCTCGGGTTTCTTCGGCTTCTTTCGGATTTACTACATGATTAACTCCTTTGGTAACTGAGAGTTTAGAAAAATTCTTACCTGATATTTCAAAAAAAAAAATGTTGTTGGTATTTTGGACGACTGATGATAAGAAGCATCAGAGAGTGGTTTACGATCGAACAAATTTTTTTCGCCCCATATTTCGGCAACTATTTTTATTATTATACCCTTGTTAGTTAACGGAATCAAGATATTTAGCATACTATTGTCTCGATTATTTAATGGAGATTAATTGCATACTTTTAAAAAATTTATTTAGTGCAATAGAAACGGAAAAAAACATCAAAATAGTTTAAAAAATTTTCCCGTCCGTCAAACGGGTATGAACCTTGTAAACACTGTAGCTTGCCAAAAAATCCATTAATTCAGTGAAATGCTTTTTTTTTTAATTCTTTGAAGGAATTGCAGGCCCCCTACCGCGGATGGCTATGTAACTCACTGTCGTTTATTTGCAATTAATAAAATAAAAAAACCAACAGACTGTATATCTTTATATATTTATTAATTTTAGGAATTCAACAAAAATCTAACTGGATACGCGATCGGAACTGGCGAATTCATATCATCAAAGGCAAAATTAAATGTCGCCTTTCCGGTAGCAGCTACAGAGGACGCTTTGCACCAAGCGAAGATTCTTATAAAAAGGATAAAAAGTAATAGTAAAATAGACATTAAGAAGCACTGGAAGCTTGTTACAATATTTTTCGGAGCCAATGATATCTGTTCAGGGCAATGCTACGATC